TGGGTACAGTCCAGTCTGAAAGCGGGGCTGGGATTCTCCATTCTAAGCTAGAGTGTGTCGGGTCCTCAGGGAGCCTTAGAAGTGGAGATCACAACAGACCCCAATAACTCAACCACCCACGCCTTGGGGACCAAGGGAGGCAAGAGCTGCGAGGTAGGGCGGGAGTCCAGCATATCAGTGGCTTCCCGGAAATCTCCGCACTGCCACCGACCTTAGCGCGGGCGGCCAGGATTTGCCTCCCTGGGGGCCTCGGCAACAAGGGCTCTATAGCTACTGGAGGGAGGTCCAAGGGCCGCTTGGCCAGCGAGGAGTCGTCGTGGGGTGAGGACCCAGAGCGTCAGGGAAAGCTCTAAAAGACTGAGCATCAAAGCAGCTAAGGCGTGGCCCTGCAAAGATGGCTGGGAGGGAAAACACCAGTCCCTCTTCACCGAGCGTGTGGGAGTGCGAGGACCAGCGACTGTCAACGTGCGGCCCATTTTCCGAAAACCAAATCCACTTTCTCGGATTTGTCCTATCCTAGCCTTTCGCTTCACCTTGAGCCTCAAACAGTCTAATCGGTCTCTTAAGTCAGCGGACTCTGGATCTGGGTGTGGGGTGTGGGTCTCCTTCAGCAAGCAGGACGTTGCCTGCTCAGTGAAAAGTGTCTCGTGTCATATTGGTCAGCTGTTTGTGGAAAATGCTCCACCCTAAGTCTGCTGGAACAGGGCCTGCAGGTGGGGCCAGAGCCCTAGATTCCGGCAGGAGTGTGGGGCCCGGCACCCTCCCTCCCCCTGTACAGTCACAATTTCCATGCACTTTCGTGGACTTCCCCAGGGCCCACTCCGTGCCCCTAACACTGCACAAACAACTAACTAGTGACTGCTAAGTGCAGCGCTAACTTCCCGCTCCTTTGGGAAGTAGAAAAGCAGCGCTGGAACCGGCAGCAGCGGTCAGGCACGTGCTCTAGAGCTAAGGAAAAAATGGGGGTGAGGGGCGGGCGGGGATCAAAAGTAAGGAGAGTTCACCCTCAACAGTAGTGCTGGCTCTTGCACTAGCTCTTCTCCTACCCATCCTCACTCCAACCAACGAATATCTTATCTGCTACCTGAGTTCGGACGCTGCCAAAGGAATTGTGAACAGGGGCCTGCCAAAGAAGGAGGAGAAAATTAATGAGGACAAGAAATGCATCTCTGATCCAGATGATAGACTCCCTGTCCCTGGAGGCAGAAATTCCTTGGAAATCAATAGCTGTGCATTCCTTAACCCCCTCTTAATAAAATGCAAAGCTATGAAATAGGAGGGGGGAGGAGTGAAGGTTCTGTGCTGGTCATTAAACAAGGAGGCGTGTGTGTGTGTGTGTGTGTGTGTGTGTGTGTGTGTGTGTGTGTGTGCGCGCGCGCGCGCGCGCACACGCAAAATGCCCAGGAATCTATGCCAAGGCTCAGACCCCATGTGGGCATCATAAACACAGGCAGGGGCCAGTCAGTTATAGCAGTTGCCAAATCAGGAAAACAAAGCAATGACATATTGGTGAGCTGAGCATAGGCCCACCGTTCTTCTGATGTAGAATAATAAGGGAAGAAGTCTTGATAGGAAAAGAACTGCTGGCATCTCCCAATTTGCTCTACTCTCCAGCTTAAAGTCCAACAGAGATGTGGCAGGATTATTCTCCAAGAAGCAGCCCTTGCCCCATATTTCTGATCAATTCCCTCTCATCACAAGGGTCCCACCAACACCTGTGGCTGCCCTTCATCCTCCCAACAGACTGTCATCTTGTGGAGACCATGTACCCAAATTTTATGCCTCATTTTATCTCCTTGCACAGGCTCAGACTGGTGATCAGCAAGCGTTGGAGGAAGGCAATAAAAACAGGAGGAAAATGAGAAGGAAATCATTGGCCTCTGAAAAAGAACAGGATGCGTTTTGGCCCAGTCTCCATATCCTTTCTAGGGACAGAGAAGTCCACTTTAGAGATCTTCCTGCTTGGCCTCTCACTGGCTCTTTCTCCTGTCCCTCTCACATATATTGATCTATGGTGTACTTTCACTGTCTGGCAGGAACTGTACTAAGCGCCCTGGTGGAAGATGGTGGTTATATGCCGTTGAGTTGGTTCCGACTCATAGCGACCCTGTACAGGGTTTCCGAGGCTGTAAATCTTTGCAGGAGCAGAAAGCCTCATCTTTCTCCCGCGGAACAGCTGGTGGTTTCGAACTTCTGACCTTAAGGTTAGCGGCCAAATTTGTAACCACTACACTACCAGAGCTCCTTCTGGTGGAAGAGGTTGTTGTTGTTAAGTGCCGTCGAGTCGAATTCGACCCACAGAGACCCTGTATAGGCAAGGAGCAGTTGGTGAGTTTGAACCGCCGACATTGCAGTTCAAACGTTTGCAGTCTGGCGCATTAACCCACAGCGCCACGGTAGGACTCCCTAAATGTGCCTAAATGGGCTTCCAATCCGTTGGCGGGGAGTGTACCCATCATACTTATACTCAGCCCAAAGCCCAAAGCAGGATTTTCTGAGTAAAAGTCTGGCCCCAGAGGTGGAATGGTGAGCCGGGAGTAGTTTCAGATGGTGGTAAACTCCAGATCTCAGGCCTGCAGGTGTCTCCCCGCTGAGTTTACTACCGCCCTCCCAGCGCCAGAGGATAATATGAGGTGCGCTTGGGTGCTAAGGAACTCTAGCTGAAGCCCTCCCGGTTCTCTGGTTCCACTTGGCCCCAAGTCTACGCTGTTCTTTTTGCTATCCGCCTGCACCTTTCAGATACCCTAAAGGTCAGCGTTTCTCCAGGCGGCGGGCAGCCTCCAAGCGCTCACCCTCTGCGAGACCCTTCCCTCCGCCTTGGGGTACAGCAGGAAACCACCGCGGTGGGTGTCAGGAAGGATTAGGCTAAGCCTGGCCACCCGCTGAGACAACTACCTTAGGATTCGCTCTCCCCCTCCAGCGCTGCCCGGCTCCTAGTCCTTTCCCTGTTGAGATAGAGTTGCATTTCGTGTTCCCATGGGACCGCGTAATGGATGGAGACGCGGCTCCTTCTCGCACCAGCAAAAGAACATCCTTCTCACTTCTTTCTCAGGATAGGAAAGCAGGGAAGGGGGGTGGAGGACAAAAAATAAAAGAAAGAAAAAGCCAAGGTGACGCCTGTGGGCTCTTCTTGGAATCTGAGTAGGTAAGCGTGTATGCTAAATACACACGCGTTTGTGCAAAGGAAAGATAAAAATCCACGGGAACGCAAATTTGGATTTATAGAAATGAGATCTGCTCTTTGGTGAAAACACAGATCTCTTGGTGTGGGATAGTCCAGAAAATGTATTTATCTGATCTCTGCCGCCTGTAAGCAGCCCCTTGCTACTCTCCAGTTCCCTTGCCAGAAATGTGATAACATCTGGGCCCTTATTATCACCCCGGGCAAGCGCTGCAGTCTCTGGGGAATCGACCACCTGAACTGTGGCTCCCCAGGGAGGCCCTTCCTTGATCCACCTGCCATGTAAGAGCTATATAACAGATTGGCTAATTGATTCATTTTTCTTAGGTTGTGATTTCACATATATATTTCACACACACACACACACACACACACACATATATATTACACACACACATATATAAAATTAAGGCCGGACTTGTGTTTGGGCCCATTTTTTCAAACAGCTTTGAACTAATATTTTGAATCATGCTTTCCTATAAGCCGGCTTGATCCTGTTTCCTATTAAAGAAAAATATATATAAGCAAGCTAAGATAAGAGATAAAGAAGCCAACAAAATGCAAGGGAAAAACAAAGTTCTCTTTTCAACATTTTATTCCCTTTTCCTGCAGTGTGTGTGTTTAAGCTAAGAGGAAAGGATCCTACACCCTGCTAACTATTTTTTTCCTTTTGATTATTAGACGCTTTAGATCACATTTCGTTTGAAACGTGGGTTTGTACACCGTTAAAGGAGACAAACAAAAAGAGAAAGGCACAATTTCATTTCAACAGCCGTTCCTGAGTAAAAAGCATGTGCTCCTTGAGGCTCCTAAGTGGCTGTCATTGACGGTGCCTAACACAGTTATATTCACAAGAACACCAACAAAGTATGAGGAGGAAATTAAATTATATGGAAATCAATAGCGTCTGACTGCTTCAAACAAACGTCTGTCATCGCGATTATTTTCCAGGAGTCTATTTATAAACCTTGAAAGAAACAGGTTCTTGCTGCAAAAGACAGCACCTTTTGCATTTCTGTGTTGTTATTTATACTGTACACAGAGGAATGAGCGGGCATAATTTAACATACAAATGCCCAGCTGCATACATTATATAACAGATTGTTAGACATCCCGGAGAGGAGGTGTGCCTAAGTAATGCGCATCTATTACTTAGGGCTTGCTATACCGAGTGAAAGGCAACACAGAGGGGCATGCAAGAGTCTTATCTTTCTTTTCCTAAAAGGTGCCTACCCTCAGACAATAGCTGGCCCTTCTGATGTTTCCAGACACGCGGAAGGAAAGGTGAGGCGTAAAGTGCGCATGCCCGAGCAGCTACAGGTGCATCACCTGCACTGTCCTTGCTGGTGGTCACTATAAGAGCGGCTCCCACGCGCCGGCCGCTGCTAGGAGAGCGCGCGCACGCGCGCAGACGCACGGCGCCGCCGAGAGAGAAAGCGCGCGCCAGACGGACTGGGACAGCTGATGCCTGTCAGCACCGCAGGGCCGCGAGTTCTCGCGAGAGCTCCCTGGACCGGCCGCGAGAAGTGAGGCTCAGGTGTAAGAGGAGTGCATCCCGTCAGCGCAAGGGGCTAGAGCTCTCGGAGAAGCGGACCGCGAGGCCGGCGCGCGACGCTCTGAGCGGTCACAGGGAGTGCCCGGCGGCAGCGGCGGCGGAAGCAGTAATAGCAGCAGCAGACCCGTACAGCCGCCGCCAGCGTGCCGTTGATCGCCGCGGCCGCCGCAGCCGCAGCCTCTAAAGAGAGGCCAGGGGAGCCGACGTGCGCACTTTCCCGTGGACTTTCGGAGTGTTTGTGGATTTACATGCCAAGCCTTCAAGATGATGTCCATGAACAGCAAGCAACCTCACTTTGCCATGCATCCCACCCTCCCTGAACACAAGTACCCGTCGCTGCACTCCAGCTCCGAGGCCATCCGGAGGGCCTGCCTGCCCACGCCGCCGGTAAGCGTCCCGCGCCCGCGGCCCCAGCCCGCTTCCCCTCCCAGTCTCCTCGACGCTGCATGTCGGGTGCTGGTGTGTGCACAAGTCCCAGTGAGGAGATTAGCGAGCAGGGAATTTTTGATGAATCCCGCTGCGAGACACGTTTTGTCCGCCGGTGCGTTATGTCCTGTCCCGTTATTCCTCTGCTTCCCTGTCGGGTGCTTGCTATCAGAGTGGGCAGCTCTGGGACCCGGACTCTCGACTTCCCTCCACTTTCTCCGTTAATTTCGCGCCTCCGAAATGCAGTCTCTATTAGTGCTCGCGTGCGAGATACGGTTCCCTGCTGCGAGTTACATCTCCATTTCTTCTTTTTTCCTTTTTCATCTTCCCACCCTGGTTCTCGGGTTGTGTTCTTGTGTCCCCCTCTCCTTGCATTTGGACATCTTCCCCATGCATTTGTCCTTTTTCGTTTACTTCCCTACTTTATCCCAAAATGTGTCCCCCATTCCGTGTTTTCTGTTGTCCACTCCTCCCTACTCTCGTTGTCGTTATTTTGGTCGCTTTGTGTTTACCCTTTGCTTGTTGTGCTCTCCGGCTTGTTTGTTCTTTCCTTCTTTCTTTGCTGTTTTGGTTTTTTGGTTTTTTGGTTTGGTTTGTGTCGCCTGCAGCTGCAGAGCAACCTCTTCGCCAGCCTGGACGAGACGCTACTAGCGCGAGCCGAGGCGCTGGCGGCTGTGGACATCGCGGTGTCCCAGGGCAAGAGCCACCCGTTCAAGCCGGACGCCACGTACCACACCATGAACAGCGTGCCGTGCACGTCCACGTCCACCGTTCCGCTAGCGCACCACCACCACCACCACCACCACCACCAGGCGCTCGAGCCTGGCGACCTGCTGGACCACATCTCATCGCCGTCGCTCGCGCTCATGGCCGGCGCAGGTGGCGCAGGTGCAGCGGGCGGCGGCGGAGGCCCGGGCGGTGGGCTGCTAGGCGGCTCGGCGCACCCGCACCCGCACATGCACGGCCTGGGCCACCTGTCGCACCCGGCGGCGGCCGCCGCCATGAACATGCCGTCGGGATTACCACACCCGGGGCTGGTGGCGGCTGCGGCGCACCACGGGGCGGCGGCGGCTGCTGCTGCGGCGGCAGCAGGGCAGGTAGCGGCGGCGTCGGCGGCTGCGGCCGTGGTGGGCGCGGCGGGCCTGGCGTCCATCTGCGACTCGGACACGGACCCGCGCGAGCTCGAAGCGTTCGCCGAGCGCTTCAAGCAGCGGCGCATCAAGCTGGGCGTGACGCAGGCCGACGTGGGCTCGGCTCTGGCCAACCTCAAGATCCCGGGCGTCGGCTCGCTCAGCCAGAGCACCATCTGCAGGTTCGAATCGCTCACGCTCTCGCACAACAACATGATCGCACTCAAGCCCATCCTGCAGGCGTGGCTCGAGGAGGCCGAGGGCGCGCAGCGAGAGAAAATGAACAAGCCCGAGCTCTTCAACGGCGGCGAGAAGAAGCGCAAGCGGACTTCCATCGCTGCGCCGGAGAAGCGCTCCCTCGAGGCTTACTTTGCGGTGCAGCCCCGGCCTTCATCCGAGAAGATTGCCGCCATCGCCGAGAAACTGGACCTCAAAAAGAACGTGGTGCGGGTGTGGTTTTGCAACCAGAGACAGAAGCAGAAGCGGATGAAATTCTCTGCTACTTATTGATGGGGACTGGGGTTAAGGGGTGTCGGAAAGGGCAGAGCGGGGAGCTTAGCAGGCACTGAGGGACTTCCCTCTCCCTGGTCTGCCTCCCTCCGGGTTTGGCCTGTCCATTATCCTGCTTGCATTTGGGGAGTCCATCCCCAGCGCTCTCCTCTGCCCCACTCCCTGTAGTTCCTGCTTTCATCCTTCCACAGCCTAGTGGACTGGGACGCTGGGTATGAAGAAAGGAAGGGGTAGCAGAAGAGAAAGGGGGAACGTTTGGGTGAGCCGGGAGTGGGGGAGGGGGGAAGGAAAGCAGAGATTGAAACTGGAGTTCTGAGGCGCAGGATGAGTCTGGGGGTTAGGGTGGGGTGAGATGCGGGAAGGGTAGGGAAATGGACAGTTTTTGACCAGAGACACTTACCAAAACTCTTGGGGACCAAGGACCTATGTACAAACCTAACAACCACCAAAAACTAGACAAATAAAGACAAACTCAAACAAAACAGACAAAAGCAAAGAAAGACTGCTTTAGAAATTTAACTCCGGGGAGCAGTAATCTGCAGCTTTATTTCCCTCCAACCCCCCAAGGAATAAAAAAGAGCGAGCACCATTACTACCAGCGTCCCAACCCTACACACTCGAACCGAGTCAAAAAGTGAAAACTAAATGAAGCAGAAGGTGCAATCTGGGGTAGAGAAGCTAGTTGTTTTGTCTGTGGTTAATTTACTTTTTTCCTTCCAAGCCTCACCATCTATCCATTTCCGATTTGATTTATTTGCTATTTTTCAATGAGATTGATGGTTACTTTCCATCACTGAATTGGAGGATTTGCTGCTTGTTAGGTGGGGACCAAGTGTTTCAGTGGTCCAGCCTACACTTTGACCTAGTTTAGGTGAGGCCTACAGCGAGAGACAGGCAGTTTTGGAGTTGAGTAAAATCAAAATTTAGAGAATTAAAATTAAATATTTTACTCCAGAAAAACTAAAATAATTTTAACAAGTTTTTTCTTCTCATTTTGCTCTTATATCTGACTAAGCGAATAATTTCAAAATATGTCCACCCTTCCCACCCTTCTCATTAGAACTTTAGCTTGCCCTTTCATTTCTTTTGTTCTGAGTGTGGTTTATTTTTAAATAGCTACTGATTTTTTTCTCCCCTATGGATTCCAATATACCGACTGTGATGGAAGATGCTAGGGGTGATACTCTGTCCCATGTTTTTCACTAAACAAAACCTGTTTTGCTCCTCTCCTTCCCCTCTCTCTTAAAGAACCAAGATTTCTTAAATGTTGAGAAATTTCTGCTTTCAGTTGCTACAGGACTTAGCTATGAGAAAGTCAACTAAATCCCAGATGAGAGGAAAACTGACTTAAAGCTCTCAGTTTGTTTCAAAGGGGTCTGCATGTTGGGAGACGAAAGCAGAACAACTGTGTTTCCTTTTTATTGTTATTAGGTATTATTATTTAAGAGTCATATATTGTTGGGATAAATGTTGAGTACCAAGAACTTTAATTTGCACTATCAGTCTCCCAAAATAGAAAACCATGTATAGTATTTCAAATTAATGATCAAGGTACTTCATGAACTGCTGATGGATCTTTTTTTTCTTTTGTACAAATGAGAAACAGTTAAAGTTGTTAGGCAAAATACCTGCTTTGTGCACAAGATACTCTTTGGCTCTCATATGGAGATGGTTTATTACCATTTTAATAATAATATACAAAATGAAAACAGAACTGATGAGAAAAGGGAAGGAAAAAAAACAAAACAACTGTCAGTTAGCTAGACTGAAATCATGCATGACCTGAAAAATGCAGAAAGGAAAACAGGGCTCACTCTGGTTAGGGATTATTTATTTAATTATGTTGTATATCATTGTTTGCAGCACAAACATTCTATGCATTTGAAACTGAGAGCGCTCAACTGGCTAGCTTTCTGGTAGACCATTTTTTATGGATGGTGTGATTTCACAGTCTTCTGCCTGTTTTCATAGAAAACAACATTCTTGTCATATTCTTGTATTTAGAGAAAAAGGAAAAGAAGAAAGATTGTTGTAAATATTTTCTTTAATGCACACACTCACAGAGTGGTTACAAACTGCCAGTATTAATCCTGAAATGTCTCACGGATTGGTTTACCTGTCCATGTATGTCTGCTGAGCTTCCTCCTTGGTTATGTCTTTGCAGTATTAGCTTTTTTTCCTCCCTCCTTATATCAGAACCATTTCTGTGCGCCAAAATACAATAGAGAGATGTGTCCCAGCACACTTACTAATAAAACATACCTGAAAGAAGAGCAGTTTTATGATTTGGGTGCATTTTTGTTTCTATACTGAGCCAAGTCCAACTAGAGCAGTTCAACAAATGAGAATTAATTCAACAACAACAGCAAAATCCCACCAAAAAAAAAAAAAGGTGGATACTGAAAGGGAGATGAAAAAAGGAGGGAAAGGTGAGAATGGTGTATTTTTCTGCAGAATCAGAATTCATTACTTTCAGATAGCTCTTATGTGAAAAGCAGTGCTCTGAATAAAATGAATTCCATTTTAGTTGGCTGTGTTTATCAAAGTTTTAAACTGCAGAAATGATTAAACTACAGCTCTCTTATCAGAGAAGAAGGTAAAAATCAAGCACCCACAAAACAAATTTAAATTTAGGGTTAGTGAGAGAGGCATTTGGAAGTTTGTATGTGTTGCTCTAGCCTAAACACACTTCTAGAAATTTTGTACTTAAATGACTTTCCTTGGAAGTTAATAAATACACAAACCAACAACTGATCTGCCCAGATACCTAGTCATTTGGAACATTTAGTATGCCACCTACTGCTTGAATCAACCAGAGACACGATATATCCTGGGTCTAGATCAGATGCCAAATGTACAAAGTTTATTAATAGGTGGGATCATCTTCTAAAATACTGTTTTAGTCAAATCTTTTTATTTCACCGGCAAATCTGTGAAGCAAAACACTGATGTTCAGAAAAGAATAGTACATTTTAAAAGCTGTGATTTTAAACTTTTTTTTTTTAACGCACTAGAGGTATTTTTAAAAATAGATATCGTCCACCAGAATTAATTTGTTTCTGTTGTTACTGACTTGAAATGTCATCAACATTTTTAATAAAATGCATTTGTAAAAAAAAAAAAAAAGTTATTTTATAGAAAAGTATGATGGGATTTCATTGTTGGAGAACCAGGAATGAAAAGAATTACAAAGGCTGTTTGTTTGTTTGTTTTAAATCTTCCCCAACTGGAAATGTTGCAGGCTAGTACATTTGTATTATATAATAATGGCCAATGTATGTATTAAGATCTTAAGCATTTGTTTTGTATTAAGTTCAATCCCTACCCAAGTAAAAAGAAGACTATTATGATAATAAAACATTATGAAAATAATGCTTTGCAGAGTTTCCTATTTTATGTAGTACGAAACTGTGCAAAACCAAGAATGCTCTGTTTTCTGGTGAGTGGATCTGTACGGTTGAAAGGAATAATAAGACAATTCTAAAACGCTTGTAACTAACAGTCCATGAAGAAACAAAAACATCTCCTCTTGAAAATGCAAAAGCTTGCTACTCATGGGTCCTTTGGCCTTTAAAGTTTTCTGATACTGAAGAACAAAACTTCACTTTAAGCGGATTTCAGCACCAGTCTGTGAGTAGAAGTAGTACTGAGTGGCTCGAATTATTTTAAAGAAGAACTTCGGGTAAACTGGAGAGAATGACAGGACTGGGCTCCGTTTGTCTTTCAATTTCTAGGCAATCCAGACGGTGGTGGAATAGGAAAGGCAAAAGAAAAAGCATAAAATGCACCTGTCACACTTACCGTTCCTCTTCAGGTTCCCTCTTTTCCCCAGTTCAAGTTCCTGCTCATTCTGTATCCTCGAGACCCACCAACTAACTTTTAAATACATTTTTTTTGTTTGTTTAACGCATGTTCTGCATTTGCTCTCAACTACGATTACAATTACATTGTCGTAAATAAACCGTAGGCACCCATTGGCATGATTGTATCGATTTTTACTTTCTTGTGCTAGACAATTTTGGTCCTGCGTGGCTACTTGGTGGGCACAATGAGAGGTCAGGGCTCCTTTTCCTTGAGGAGTCACAGCCCTTGGCACCAAATCCAGCTGCTCAGGCCTCTCTCCTTGGTCACTGACCCTTCATGAAGCGTCTCCGCTCAAACTTACACCTCAAGGGGTTTTCATACTCAGTCTTAGACCCACTGTTTCAAGTTTAACGGATTAAAAAAAAAAAAAAGCCGAATTCCAATTCTCATGGGGGCCTCTTCCCATCTTCAAGAAGTCCTGTAGCAATGCTTACGTTATTTAGTATTTGATAGAACCTTCGTGTAGCCGTCAGCCAGGACAGCGGACAAGCGATGTGGCTGAGGCTGGGAACCCGCTGGGGCTCACGCGGAAGCCCTACTGGCGTGGCAGACCCTCTGAATAATTCATGGCTTGAGATCTTTGGAAATTAATAAAATGAATTCTAACAAGGTACTAATTGAAAACTTAAAAACTGTTGTCAAGTTTATTTGATGGGAGCGGACATGCGGTACCTTGTTGCCCTCTCCAAATCTGGTCACACCAAACCACGGGTGCGCCCTAGGGGAGGGCTTCAAAACTTAGCGATCAAATGCTCCTTGGACTCTAGACAGGAATCATTTCAAGCTGCTCGGTCCCCTTCAGCCACCTTCTGCAGTTTGCTTGTCTCTGCGCCTAGTCTATAAAACCGTACTTGAGCGGCATGTACTATTTCAAACCAATGACCGCTGACTGGGTCAGGAGTTGCAGCCAAGCGGGGACCCGCCCTACCCAGACCCACGCGGAGTTCTTGCTCTCCACGGAGAAGCCCACCCACTCGTGATCGCCGCCTGCTGTCCCCAGAGCTCCCAAACACCCAAGGGCAAATCTGGTGGTCTGCGGTGACGGCCACTCGTCCTGTCTGCACCCCTCTGCTTCCTTCTCTCAGAATCCTGGTCCCAAACTGCAGTTCCGCTCGGATTTCTGAGCATCCACTAGC